AAATTGAGGTGACCTTCATGTGACTTTCAAACAATTCTTCAAGGTCAAACCAATGGTATCGTCTTATGGCCCCCTCGAAACCAAACAACTTTTGTCTGAAAAATTTTTCTCTCCCGGGCTTGGTTTTCGAAATATTCGACTGGGTCAATTAAAATGGCCCACCTTGTATATGTATAAAGCGCGAAGATACAATTTCAGGCATTAGAGTCGCATACCGTATGAGTGGCTTGATTTTCAACGACGAGCTAGAGCGAATGCTTTTATCACTGAAGCCACACAGTATCACGCATGTAATTTCATTGCAGTCAGCTATTGACGGTGATGTGGTCGGAGATAAAAAGTACAATGTAAGAGTAGGGGTACTAAAGTACGACAAACGATTGCTCTTTTCGTCTCCCCGCTTTTACACGCGTCAGTCGCCGCGTTAAGATTCGTCGCGATGGACGTCGTAATATTACGGTTGTTATTGCCCATTATAATCTTTGGACTATTCATCTCGTCTTCCAGTCAATATCGCAAGCCAGACCGTGAGTAAAACTGACATCTTATCAATATATAACAATACTATACAATAATATAAAATAATAACTATACAATAATATAAAATAAAACGCACCGGGGAACTTAATCATTTTGACAATAATAATAAATAAAGAGAAGAGAGGAGGGTGTGCGTTACAGACATAAAACATGCGTTACAAATCTTTGCGTGGATCAAATCTAGTACAGGAAGTTGCGTATCGATAACGAAAACGATAACGAAATTTCCGCTAGAAATTAAAAAATAAAGAGGCTGTAAGTCGATTATTTTTAACGACAATGTCATTATCGTTATCGCCGTTGTTGCGCAAGTATAACATATGACAGGAAAGCTGCGCAACGATACTGTAACAATAACGTGTCGTTTAAAGTTACAAAATTGAGTTATTGGGGTGGTTAGTTAAGGAACGTTCTATTTTTAACACTTGCAACGATTGCGAGCATCATTCTATTTTTGTTTTTCTTGGATATTAAACTGGGAATAGTTACATTATTTTCTTTTTACGTAAAGGATCACGAACACTTGATGTGCTTATTCCGTTTTTTAAATATCTTTTTGGTTTCTCCTCATTTTTTTCAAAAAGTAGCAAGTAAATCTATATTTATAATGTTCCTATATAATAATAAATCGTAGAGTAATCAATAATATGCTATATTCTGTTAATAATAACTACTTTTAATTGAGCTCCAAATCATCCCAGGTGACTATTTCCGGATTAAACAAAAACGGAGTGATGCTAGCTATCATTCAAGTGGAACCCAGCCTTGGTAGAACTTAGAGTTAGTATGTAGAGCGATCACTCGGCAAGCGGAAGATCTCTGGATTCCATTCCCGGCCTAATAAGTCTATTCTGTAACTTTTAATGATAATACCCTTGTCGTTACATTTCATATCTTGCATACTGAAAAATATAGAAAGAAAATATCTCAAAAAGTATTCACTTTTCGAAAATCTTATTCTAGTACTTTTACGTGTAGAATAAACAGAATCGATTTGTGTTACAAAAAAATTATATGATTTCACTAAATAAATGCAATTAACCTTCAAATGACCTTGAAAGCGTCATCCAAAGATAATTCAATGCCATGATATTATGTCTCACTCGAAACTGAACCGAAACTTTTCTTTGAAACATTTTTTTCTTTTGATGCACATTTTTTAAATCATTTTAAATACTAGAGAGCATGATATCGTATCTAAAAGTATTCAGCATCTTTTTTTTAACGATTATTTTTAACGATTCATTTATTCTTTCCACGAAAACGCTGAAAATCTTACAATAACCGAGCCTGCAATCAGCATTTCAGAATACTTTAGGTCACATAAAACCACACGCATTACCGGAAGTCCAGGAGAAAGCAGCGAAAGATGTCGCGAGAAGACTACTGGGAAATGAAACTGCTGAACTCTTCGTTATGATAGTGGATAACAATTTAGGGCCTGTCGACAAGGACACTTTCAAGGTACAGCGCTCACTCTCGAAAACAACATATTTTCAGAGAAATAATCCGACATTGGGTATCAACTCCTCTTTTAATAGATAACGAAAAATCCTCTAGGCAAGATTGAAATCCGCGGCACTACCGGGGTGGCGATCACATGGGGACTCAATTATTACTTAAAAAACTACTGCAACGTTCACGTGTCGTGGGACGGCACGCAGATCGACCTGCCCAACGTATTGCCAGACATCAAAATCAAGATCACATCTAACGACAGGTGAAAGTGCGTTTTGTATGTAACAATCGTAATAACTTGTTTATTTATTTACGGGAATAGAAAAATCTTTTGGTACGTACTGGGTGAGGCAATAACTATTATCATCTTGAATATCTTCGAAATATGAGAATAGGAGAAAAATTGTTCTAATAGGAATTAATATCAATGGTCATCACTTCGGATACTTTTTGTAAATGTAAACTTTTTTCACCTTCATTTAATCCAGTTAATAAAATATTTTCATTTTTCGAAGACATACAAAGTGATAATAGTCATCACATATTTCACTTTGTATATTATAAAATATAACAATATAAGTAAGTACAATTATAAATTAAGATTTGAAATTTGTAAATTGACAATCGCGTATTTGTGGCAAAGTTCGAACATGCGTAACCTTTCATCACTCTTCCCTAGATTCAGATATTATCAGAACGTATGCACCGCGGGCTACAGTACGGCCTGGTGGCAATGGCAGCAATGGGAAAGACACATCGACTGGATGGCCTTCAACGGGATCAATCTGGCCCTCGCGTTTACCGCGCAAGAAGCGATCTGGCAGAAGCTGTTCCGCGAGCTGAATCTCACTCAGGTGGAAATCGACGAGCACTTGGGCGGTCCCGCTTTCTTACCCTGGTCGGGTACCATTTATCTTCGAGTTCTTTCTCTCTAGCGGATGGTAGAATGTATTTATTGAGCCGTTTCAGGGCGAGAATGGGCAACATGCGTGGCTTCGGTGGGCCGTTATCGTCGAATTGGCATAATCGCACCGTACGTCTGCAGCATCAGATCTTACAAAGAATGAGAAATCTCGGAATCGTCCCGGTGCTACCAGCGTTCGCCGGTCACGTACCACGAGCTTTTGCTAGGCTTTTTCCAGACTCTAACATGACGAAGGTCGAACCTTGGAACAAATTCGAGGAAAAATATTGTTGGTACGTCGCAACGCGATTTGTTTTTATCTCATTTTATTCTGTCTCTATCGATAATATTTCCCTTTCTTTGAAACGTGATTTTTCTCATAACATTTCTGTAAAATATAATGCAATCAACAAAAATTAGTTGGAAAAATATAGAATATAATATTGAAATTAGATATAACGTTTTTTTTTCTCATTGCGTATAGAGATAAACAAATCGTGACAATATTTAATGAAATTAATAAAATCTTCGGTCCTTAATTTAGTTTTTTGTTTCCAGCCCTTATTTGTTAGAACCGACAGAACCGCTGTTTCACACCATCGGAGAAAAGTTCCTGAGAATGGTAAGTCAACGTAACTCCAACGGAGGCGATTAATGAAGCGCCGATATGAATATTTCATTGCTGCAGTATATCGACGAATTCGGCACCGATCACATTTACAACTGCGACACTTTTAATGAGAACGAACCCGGTAACAGCGAACTCGCCTACTTGAGCAACGTCGGCCGTTCAGTTTTCCGGGCTATGAACGCGGTCGATCCTCAAGCAGTATGGTGAGCGGACAGATTGATGAGCAAATATTCTTAATCCTCGCTACATTGTGATATCAACATTTCTTTGAGATTTAGAATGAATATCAATCAAGTACACGCAACCATCATATTTATTATGCAAATTCTTGCTGGGCTATTTGAGGTTGATGCAGGGTTGGCTGTTCGTGCACGACTTTATCTTCTGGACAGAGCCCAGAGTGAGATCCTTCCTGACCTCCGTACCTGTAGTAAGAATATTAATATATGTCGAATATTAACTTTCTCGGATAATAATATATATCGATCGCAACTCGCTGCTGCGTAAATATGTGGCTGCAACGCACAAGTGAGTAATCCTTGCAATGAGGTGCTGAGCGTCTCGCCGTTATTAGATTCAGAAAAAAAAATTAAAAAATTGCAGAATATTCCTTTGTGGAGAGAGACTTATAGAATAACTTTATAGACACTAAAAATAACATTATAGCAGAAAACTTGTACAAAAATAAGTTGAAATTAATTCCTCGTAACAAGAGTAACTGGTTGAAATTAATTTCAGGTTAAAAAGTATTAGTAAAAATATTCATAAAAATATTAACGAAATTAAAAAGAACTTTAGAATGAATGTATCGTTATCTATATTCTCTTACAAAAGTCTACATTAATACTTACTTTACCGTAATCATGAGACGTGTTCTACTTCAAACTGTTGCACTAAATTCAATCGCAGGGTCGAATGCTGGTATTAGATCTGCAGTCGGAACAATTTCCGCAATACGGCCGATTGAAGTCGTATTACGGTCAACCATTCATCTGGTGCATGCTGCACAACTTCGGCGGCACCTTGGGGATGTTCGGATCCGCGCAAATTATCAATCAGGTATACCGCGCGAATTTGCATTTCCTCACTGTTTCTCCTTTAGCCGTGGAATCAGTAGCAGACTCTCATCTGAATTTTCCTCACACCTCAGATCTTTTGTGCCGAAGAGTATTTCAAACTTATATTTCTGCTCTTCAAACTCTTCGACAATGAATAGACAAAGAATCCTTAGAATTTAAAGAACCTTAGAATGTAACGAACCTTCGAGACGGTGAATTAGATATGCCGCGACTTACGAGATAACCATTCCAATTTGTTCTTTTCTCAGCGCACGTTCGAGGCTAGACATATAAATGGCAGTACGATGGTGGGAATCGGCTTGACACCCGAGGGCATCAACCAGAACTACGTAATTTATGAACTGATGAACGAAATGGGGTATCGTCACGAACCCGTTTATCTCGACTCATGGTAAGAAGAAGCGTCTCGTTTGATTTCAACGCGTTACCCATCAAACGCTGAGGAAAAAGACAATTGAATTAACAAAATCGACGGTCACCCATATTCAAAAAAATATTGTGTCCGCTGAACAAATTATTATTATATATAGTATTAGCGCAACAACATATTGCATTGATGTAGTTGCTGACAACATCGTAATTGTTCAATCAAATGATAACTCATTACAGCAACTATATAATTTGCACATTTATTGCCTTAAACGTTGTGCTTGAAAAAATTTTATTTTTAAGCAAAATTTTGCTGGATATACTACTTTTTTCCCAATGCAGGAAAGAATTCAGTTCCTGCAACTGCATAAGGACCAGATAAAAACTCTATGTCAAGTAATGAAAACTCGATAACGAGAAATTATATTTCTGTTACCGCGACTAAGAACATTCGTGTGAGTTTTTTATTTAGTTGCTTTAAAACTCGGTGGAGACTACTGAGAGCGATTAACGGAATAGAAATGTCCAACAAAAATCTTTCTTTTCAACCAAGTTTTAGTCTGGTCCCTGACAATGGAAAATTGAGTTATACTGACGGAATAACTTTTTTCATTTAATGACAGCTTTCCGTCCTGAGATACGTTGTCTTTAATGCGATTTGTTTCCTAATAATCTATAGGTTAAAGCGAGCCTATGCCATTTGCAAATTAAATTCGGACGCGTAAACAAAAAATTGCTCAATTAAAGTTCATCGATAATTAAATTGATAATTAAATTGATAATTATATTGATACGCTGAAAGATCATCGATCGGTAGGTTCGAGAGTTACGCCACTCGAAGATACGGCGCCTGGAACGAATACGCGGTGGCTGCCTGGAAGCGTCTAGGCAGGACAGTTTACAACTTCGTCGGCGTTGAAAGAATCAGGGGGCATTACGTTATTACCAGACGACCGAGTTTAAACATTTCACCGTGGGTAGGCATATATATATTTGATAATTACAATTGATAAACGATGGATAAAATATCACAATAATATACATTTTCGTAAATATCTTGATATGTATATTATAAAAGAAATTATTTAGAATTTAACGTAATGAGAGATAAGCAATTAAATAAAAAATGAAAATGAGTCGATGTAGGATGGAAATATAGTTACAAACAAGTTGATTATAAGTAGGATAATAAAAAGTAGATCAAGTAGGCCAGTAAAGAATAAACCAAGTAGAAATTAGAATTATGATCTGAATCGATGTAGAATAATTTGCTCTTAATGTACAGGTTTGGTACAATCGAGAGGATTTCTACGATACATGGAACATGTTTTTAAAAGCGAGATACGGTAGAGGTAATAATACTCTCTACAGGCACGACGTGGTTGATATAACAAGACAAGCTCTTCAATTAATGGCTGACAATATCTATATGAATGTAGTAGATTGTTACAGAAAAAGAAACATCACTGGCTTCCGGTGAGTATATTATAATAACATATTAATATATCTTATCTCTAATGATTGTGTGTATCACGCATAATATTATTATTATTATATGTATATTTATTATTATTATATTTTATATTATTAATATTATTAATATATGATATATTATTTATTAATATTATTGGAATTAATACTCAGGTTATTAAAGCAATATACAATATAGTTAGTTTCAATATTATGACGCTATTATCCCATTCTATTGATATAGCAGCATGTTTTCCGCACGCGTGTATGTGTGTACGATAATAAAAAAATATTTTAATAATATCTCACACACATTACCGGTGTATGTAAACGTTTGAAATTATAACTAACTATGATCGGTGTATAGTAATTTACCGCCTCATCCGCAGTCTCTGTGTTTGAACAAATTCTGTGGTTCATTTTCGTCGAAATACATCGCAGATCGCACGCTGCCGCCTTACTGGATCTCTTCGACGATCTCGAGACTATCCTGGCATCAGGAAGTAATTTTCTTTTGGGTACCTGGTTGGATCAGGCGAAAAATATGGCCGTCAACGAGGAGGAGAGACGGTCTTACGAGTACAATGCGCGAAATCAGATTACCTTGTGGGGGCCGAATGGCGAGATCCGAGACTATGCGAACAAACAGTGGTCCGGAGTGGTCACGAACTACTTCAAGCCCAGATGGACGCTCTTCCTGGAGGCTCTTGAAAAGTCGTTGGTTGAAAGAACCAGACTGAACATGACCGAAATTAACAACAGGATGTTTCTCGAAGTCGAGGAGCCGTTCACTTTCTCCACGAAACTCTATCCGGTAGAGCCAAAAGGTACTTTATCCTTTATATCTCATTTCGATCATTTTCTATTACAAAAAGAAGTCAAGTCAAGAATTTTTCATTACAAAAAGAAGTCAAGAAGTCAAATTTTATACGCTCTTTAAAATAATGAATAATATAAATTATTATTGGAAAAATTATGTTTAAAATATACGTTTGATTGTTACTCAGGCGATACCCTCGATATAGCGACGAAAATCATTTCCAAATGGTTGGCAAAGAAGAACCATAGCCGAGTACAGAGACATGTGAGAAGAGAACCGAAGTTATTCTTTGCAAGGAAAGGTGGAGTAGCAGGACGTGAACAGAAAGGTGGGATCATGAGTGACAAATATATGAATATATATTCTGTGTGATTAAAGCAAAGAAAGGGCACAAAAGCATAAGGAACAATAAGCAAGAATATATTTTTCAAAAATATTATAATAAATAAAAACATCTTGTGGGGTCATGAATGACCTCTACTTTTCCTTGCAAGCGATAAGATTCTTTTTCTTTATTTGTTTAGGCAAAAATTATTATTGGTACATTTGGGTATAAGTGATAAAAAAAATACTTTTCGTGCATGATAAAGAGAAATGTTGATAATTAGAATTTAGCAAAATAAAGCTGACAAGCGCACAATAATGATATATATTCAGATTTTTATATTGGTGCGAAGTTTACGCTAAACAACGAAACGTATGTATACGAATCAATAGATAATTTTTTAATAAATCTATCAAAACTTCTGGAAAGTCGAAAAATTTAAGAACCCACGTAAAATTTCACGATCGGTCGCACAATACACACGAAGATGCATAATGACAGGGGCACGTGCAGCAAAGGCGAATACGTGCGACGTGAAATACCGAGAAGAATAAGGTTTGTTCCACATTCGTACGCCGAGATACGGGCATTTGAAGTTTTCGAGAACGTCGTACATCAGATGTCATTTATGCTTTAACGTTCATTTGCTATTATTTATTTATTTATTTATTTATAAGGGAATTTATCCTTTGGTGTAAGCTTATCATTGAAATTTAATTTATTCAATGTTCTGGTAGAAATTTTCTCAAGCACAGATCGATGTAAATAACAATATACCAGGGTTTCCTGCGATTTTCATCCTCACGTATTGTATTTAAAGTCGAAAATCTCCCAAGAAGCCCTAATGGCAATGTGGAAACACAATAACGACATCTAGTATATAGCGTATGGTGTGGCGTTCGTTCTTTGTCGGCGATCGACGGCGCATTCGCAGCATATACACATTACGGTCTTTACACCTGCTTTGTGGCGATGCGCAACATTGTAGTCCGCAGTCCCCATCAAAGGACTCACCGCTCGCTGTTATCTCCGCGTAGGAGTCGTAGCGATGTGGAAAAAAATGCTCAAGCCGAGACTGTCCCGCTTCGGATGGTAAAGTGCTTGTGCTTCTATCTATATTGTCGATTAATTTCCGCGATACATATGGAGAGATCGATCGAGCGAAGGAAACTAACGAAACTGTGATTAAAAGCGACATTTCCGACTTTGATTTGAGCGAATCAGAAATAAACGAAGCCAATTATACAGTAGAATTTTCTGTTTTCGTAGTATTATAAAAGTAAATTACAATTTCACTTTTATAAATTGTTTATGGTTACATTATAAGAGTTATGTACTAAAAACTTATTGCGACCTTGTTGGGAATGGAAAGGTTTTTGATTGTGATGGCATTTATTTCACTCCGACCACACTGCTAATATTGCAGTAAAAAGAATCACTTCTATAAACGTTGCGAACGTAAATAACAAATAATTGTAGATGATTACAAAAATATCCTTCTCAAAAGGATATATCCTTCTCAAAAGGATATTTTTGTAATCATCTATAATTATTTGTTATTTACGTTGCAATTACTTATCGGTAACAGTCTACAAGTAGATGACGGATTTTTGGTACATAATTAACACTTATAGATCGGTCAAGCTAATTCTATTGTAACATTCAACTGTCCTATGTAGAAGAACAGATTAGATATTTGTAGACCACATAACGATACAATTAATTTCTTCTTAGAAGAAAGACACAATTACATGTAAAAATTTTCCGTTTTTATTCGAAAAGAGAAATTACAAGACAACACGCAAGCCGTTTTTCGAGGAATTAAGCTGTATAACGTAGAGGTAATATGTGTTTGAGATTCTTGTTGAGCACACTCCCATGATCATCGAGATCTCGTCGCACCTCTGCCGCCTTCGATTTCGCGTCGTCTCTGGTAAGTTCGTTCCGTTCGATCACTTTATCTAACAGCGTCTTCAGCTGCGGCCCAACACCACCCTCGACGGACGACTGCAAAACCTTCAGGACCTCATCAGAATAGCCGGTGTAACGTGCGAATCCTTGTTTCCGCGCATCCTTGCTCAAAGCGTCGTACAGATCCGCCAATTGCTGGATAGAAGGAGAGATAGGTGCTTTGTAACGGCGTCTCAAATAACTGCTCAAACTTGGCCTCGGCACTTGAGTCACTTTCTCGCCCAGTAAGGTGAATCTGCAGCGGTAGGAACAAAGGAAAAAACGATTCAATAAGGTGAGTCGTTATCACGCTCTTTATTAAAACGTTCCCAATTGGCATTTATGTTCGAAACGTCTTTATTGTTATTTATGACTTGAGTAAATTACTATTATGGAATAATTATAAAAAACGGACGGTACAGTTTTTTAATATTTTTTTAGTATTTAATAACAATTTATCGAGAGAAACATTGAGAAACATGTTTTTACTTTTTATTTGTGACATTTGTAATATTATTGTAATATTATTGTACAATACGTAGTAAAATAATTATAGTCAGAAATGCCATTTTTGCAATAAACGCTACTGTAGCGTTAGTGATAATTTTACATGCATATGGCCGCTATTATTTCTTTTGCCAGAACAATATAGTAAATTAATTATTTAGAATCATTATTATAAGAGATTTTCGTTGACTTTGGTATTGTAAAGGCTCTACTTTACTCAAATGTTTATTCCCTACTTTTATTTTGTATTTTACAGTACCAAAGAATTATTTTCCTACAATAATAAAAGTAAAATCGAATAAAAAGCCATAGTGCCGGAAATGACTGTGATTTTAATGAAATCGGCCATCTTCTCCCTCTCAGTGCAGTAATAGCGTGCGAAAATACTCACCTCGTCTCTTCCTCCGCGTCCTCAATGTTCTCCGTTTTCTCGATCGACATGTCCGTCGTGCCCTTCGACTCGTCGGTGAAGTTTGTATCCTCGATTAACGGGGAGCTCGTTGGCATCACGATCTCGTAAATTTCGTCCACGATGCTGTCGATGGTCAGTTCCTTCCTTCCCGGATCTTCCGACGTCTCCGAGACGGTCGCCTGCGTCGACTGTTGTGACGACGCACCGTCATCCGGTGAACTGTCGCTTTGGACCGACTGGGTGGAAGAATTCTCGATCGACGAGTAATTCTTATCCTCCTCGTTTACCTCCGGGATCTCTTGGTTTGGCTCCTGGGTCTCCTGTACAGGTTCCGGCGACTCGTGATTCATTTCCGGCGTGGCGTAGTTCGTCTCGGCGATCTCTTCGTTTACCTCCGGCGACTCTTCGTGATCGGACGAAGTCGAAACGGTCGCGGTCGAAGTCTCCACGTATTTGGCGGCCTCCGTCAGGTTGTCGGACGGTCCGTCACTCGATACCTTACTCACCGCATGCGAAGTTGAAGGCAGTTCGGGAACTGCCGTCGGGTCGCTGTGCATCACCGCGGTTGCAGCGGTGGAAATCGCGGAGCTCCCTACAGGCGTCGTCAACTGCGGTTGATGCTTCATCGATTGAGTCGTCATCGAGGGTCTAACTGTTAATGGTACCAGTGGCAGCCTTTCGTGCGAGTGGAGCTTCAATTGTTCGACCGCATGGAAAATTACCTGATTCACAGAACTGGTTTACCGATCTGATATTTGATATTTCGAGAAATCGGCAGTATTCGAATTGGAAATAATTCTGTTGAGGTGTGCGGAGGCAGTCGAAACGTCTGCGCGGAAAAAAGTGTTCGATTCAAGTAAATAATTACTTCGATATTTCTTGGCGAATTTTTACTCGGATCAAGTAAATATTATTTGATCCAAGTAAAATATTTATTGGATTCGAGTAAAATTGACTTGATTTAAATACAAATTTGCTAAGGAGTATTGGAATAATTATTTATTTAAATCCAGCACTTTCTAGCACAAATCTAGCCCAAACGCATATTGTACTCTTGTGTTTCTTCAGTAAATTTTGCCTATCGCCATTTCTGGCTATCGGGACGTCCGTAGAATTCGACAGATTGACGAATTATCTGATAAAAAATTGGCGCTAATGAAAAGTTGATTAATCAAGATAGATCGGCGAATTATCTTTAAAAATTCGGCGCTACGAATATGAAATTCCTTCGAGCTTCTCTGGCGCTGATAATCCATGCATAAAGTTCAGACGTCGTTAGACGAAATGTGAAGGTCGAGAACGCGAGCAACGAATTAACACTAGTGCGAAGAAACACTAGTGCGTAAAATTATTCCTGGGCTTTTACGCGTGTCTAGACGGACGTTCGACGTTCGCGGAGTCTCTTCTCGTTAATCTAAGTAAAATGACTCACCTGCATGCAAGCGGGAAGGTACGAGTCCGAGTACATCGGTGCTGCAAAGGCCGGCGGCTTCCTAACGATTCCGCCGGTGACCTGAGGAGCCGTGAAGGAATTTTAATTAACATTTCCGCCGGAGCATGCGAAATCCGGCTTTGATCGGTGCCGTTAGTCGCGATTACGGCGCGTGTTTATATGGAAATACTTTACATCGGTGGCTGATCGGGAGAACGACGGCGCTTATTGCTAATATACCGTTAAATGTCAGAGTTGACCGAGGGCGCTATCGAAAACGCGCAATCGCGCGAATGTGATTTGACGCTGGCGAAGGTGGGAACGAAAATAGTTCCCTGTCGAACGACATCTCGATTCCTGCTCGAACCTGCATCGAGATAAACGCCGATGACACGATAACATTCTTTCTATGTTCAATTTCTGCCGACGCGTAGAAAACGCCGATCTGCACCTGTCGCGAAGACCCCAACGCGAAGGTAATCACAGAGTAACGATGAACGTTCGGCTTACCTGTCGAATAATCAGAACTGCCATCAGACTGCACCACAACGCCTTCATCGTGAAATTCGATTTCTTCTTGCCGGCTTCGGAATAATCCCCGCCTCTTCAAACGTGCACCTTGCAAGGGGTAACGAAATTCGCTATGCTCTCTGGCATACCACCAGCCCGCGGAAATTGATCCGGGGTGTATCGCTAAAGGCTCGAGAGATGAACAACTGATATTCAATCCTGGGACCACACCGGAGCGATTCAAACGTCCAGAGCAAAAAAGGGATAAAACGAAAAAGCTTAAGCAGAGATACTTCACACCGTCTCTTTCCCAGGAATCGATTTTCCAACCGGGGACTCCGTCTGGGGATTCGTCGTCGGTTTTTGCGGTGGTCTCAAGGTACGCGGACGGTTGTTCGAACGAAACTGGTCTCGAAAAGACTCGTAACGGTCCCAGGTCGTCCTCGGCGTCGCACACCTCCACATTCGCGATCGCGCGTATGTAAACGAGCGGCTCCCTGCGGGAGTGTTAATTGCGTGACGAGCCGGCTAGGCGTGCACGCGGCCACGAGCCGGCTCTCTTCGATGCCGTCGTCGTCGTCGTGTGTCGTATAAGTAAGTCACACTGTGATGCCTCGAACCGAGTCGTCATTAGTATGCCGTGCATATCTGTGGACGAAAAGGCGACGCACTTCCCGCTATACTTCTCGGGTCATCCTCGATCTGTCGATTGTACGGTTCTCCGCGCTTTCGTTGCCACTAAGAGTTTCATCGAAGGATTCTCTGGACAATTCTGGCTCGAATTGTCTCGATGGAAAGCGCCAAGGATGGCAATATAGTTTCTGATCGTGCTTTGCCGTCTCAAGTTTAATCCGTTTGCGTCATTAAGAGATTTAAAAAATGTCTATTTACTTACTTTTGATTATTTATGAGCGAGCTAATTAGTATACAAGACGTGTTTATATTATTGTATGTAATAATGTAGTATTGTACATGCAAAGAAACAAAGGAAAACGCAATAAATGCTCAGGCATATAAATTTAAATACATATTCAGACACACGTCACATATACTATCTACATGTCTATAAAGCTAGAGAACATTTGAACATTCGGAAACAAAAAATAAATTCACAACTATATATAACTAAATAAATAAATAAATAAATAAATAAATATATATATATATACATTTATTTATAATATAATAAATATAATAAATAAATATATATATATTTATTTAAAAATAAATTCGCAACTATATATATATATATAATATACATATTTATTTATTTATTTATTTATTTATTTATTTATTTATATACCATTTTTTACTATGTATGCGCCTCTTTACGTTTTGCGTTAGTTCAACTAACATAAATAAAGCATTAATAGAAAAAATAAAAATGAATAATATCTCCATGTTTGTATATTTGTCACAATTTCACTCAAAATTAACATTCATTGCTTAGATAGTTAGGTAAAATGATAGAAAAGTATTTTTTCAATAAATAATGAATTTATGCAGGAATCTTTTAATATCGCTTCTAAAAATTCAGCAACTATCTTAAACGTCACGTTACGAAGAGGGCACAAAAGCAATGAGATTTTCGGGAAGGAAGTTATGCGCAAAATTTTTTATTTAACACGTTGACTGCCACGGAATTTTTCACGATTCTGGTCTAAGAAGCCAATTTGATTGAATCAAGTAATGAAGCGACGAGATAACTCATAGTTGGCGTCCTGGGCAAATAAACAACCTACGAGATATCTCGTAGTTGGCAGTCAACGTGTTAACTCGTTAATTTACAGCAACTTCCTTTTCGTACCGGCCTTCCTTCTTTCCCTAGTTTTATCATTTCCCGATAACCTCAAGACTTTTCTTACTGACCCTCCGCCGAAAACTTTCACGGGTTTCCTTAAACGCTTCGGGTCAGGGTATCGGGTCTGCTTTAAATCCGCCGTAAATCGTCCACCGGCTTTGCTTGACCCTCTTTCCCGAAGAGCCGTCACGACGATTTCGCGCCAACGGTCCAATAAGAGTAAAATTTCGTGGCCGAGGACAGCTCTTTCAAGGCGAGTTGGTCGTGGCACTTCGCCCTAAATCTTAAAAAAAAGGAACGAAAACAACAAGAGAGAAAAAAGAGATAATCCAACCGGTTTTTCGAGCGACTTCTACGTCATTCGTTTTGCGACTTTAAAATCGTCGCTGCTTCGTGGAACGCGCCAGCGGCCGCTGTAAAATTTACGCTTTTTGCGGAACGACGAATAAAAGTTTCGTAAGAATCGTACTTCCGCGCGAGTTTCACGTCGCGAGTCAAGGGTAATTTTCATCTAAAAAAAGTAAGGCATTCATGCAACGGATGGCTGAAAAAAAATTGAATTTTTCGTCCTAAGAATTTATAATATGTTGGAAGGAAGAAAAGATAAGTCGAGGAGGAAATTATAATCAACGAATATATGGGGTTGTTCGATAGTTCGATAAGTTCGTTGAGATTTTTATGAAAAAATTGAAGCCCTGATACTTTCATAATTAGATAATTTTAATTTTATTTTACTTAACTTTATTTTATTATTTACTTAATTTTATTGATTTATTTATTACGTTACTTTATAACTTTACTTTTTTCATTCTTTTTGATGACTTTCTGCCATCGAAAAAAGCAATCAATACATTATTAAATAAAGTTTTGCCTAATTATAAAATTATTATCGGCTTTGTGTATTTTTCGTAAAAATTCCTGCAAACTTATCGAATAATCTAATATAATCAAATTCGCTGATATATAACATCGAAACATGGTGAACACTGACGTCAAATGAAACGCAATTTCTATTCAACCTTGCGCGGTTTATAAATAAAGTACGGAAATTGCGATTCATGTTTCATTTTCTTATCGACGGAATATATTTTACCATGCGGTCAGATAAGACAAGAGAATTATTCAAGAATTACTGGTTTCGCTGCTGATGCATCTTCAAGCAGCCCGGCCATGTTCTTGCTATGCAAGGTTGCTACAAAGTCCGTTCTTGAGTCAATAAAATCAGCATTGGTATTCACAGATTCTATTTGTAGACAAACGCGCGTTTCTTCGGCTACTCTTATTCTCAATAAATAATGCGTTGTTTTCCTTCACAGACTGTCGAAGACCTGCAATAAAGTAAAATTAATTATACCGTTATCGTCGTATCTTACTAATTTAATAAGTCAGTTAAAAAGTACAATTTGATTTTTAAGACAAATATGACTCGATTAATTTTTAATTTAATTTTGAATAAATTAATTTTAACTTAACTTTTTTATGTAAGAGGCACATATATACAAGGTCTGTTCAAAAAGTATCGCGAATTTTGTGTTTTTTCGAAAATTATTTATTTATTCATGAATATCTATTTTGTCTCCTTCAAAGTAATCCCCATCAGATATTATACACTTGTGCCAACGTTTTTTCCAATCCTCGTAGCACTTCAAAAAATCATTTTTTGTGATCTGTTCAGCTCCTCCTTCGATGCCGTCTTTATCTCCTCAATCGTAGCGCAGCGTCGTCCTTTCATGTGCCTCTTCAGTTTCGGGAACAAGAAAAAGTCACATGGGGCCAGGTCTAGGGAATACGGTGGCTGCGGCATCATTAGTGTGTTGTTTTTGGCCAAAACTTCGCGCACAAGCAACGATGTGTGAGCAGGGGCGTTGGTACGAATTTCGCGGCGACCCGTCTCATGCCCAAATCATTAGTAAAAATCGAATGGCACGAGCCAATCGATATGTTTAGGTCCTCAGCAACTTCTCTAACGGTGATTCGACGATTGGCCAATACTATTTTCTTCACTTCATCAATGTTTTCGTCTGTTGTTGACGTGCTCGGGCGTCCGGCACGCTCTTCGTCGTTCACATCTTCTCGGCCCTCTGAGAACATTTTGTACCACCGATAAACGTTGCTTCGGTCCAAGGTAGCATCACCATATGCCACAGTCAACATTCGGAATGCGTCCGCGCACTTAATTTTGTTAGATTCTTTGATTCATTTTTTGGAACAGGCAAAAATCGAAGACGAGCCCAAACACGTCCAAGCAAAACAGCTGTCAAAGATAAACTGAATATTCAAAATGGCCGAACTTGTCGGCATAAGTGAGGGACATGAGTACCAACATAACGCCACAAAAAAATCGAAAATCGAATATACGTAACCCGCGGAAATTCAAAATTCGCGATATTTTTTGAACAGACCTCGTATATATATATATGTACGATTTTTCATAATTAACTTTTAACTTTAATAAGTTAATTTAATTTTAGCTTAACTTTTAAATTATTTTTTGTTTAGGTAACTTTTAACTTAACTAAGTTAATTTTATAGGTCACTAACTTTTACCTTAGTTAAAAATAAAGATTAATTTTTCTGACTCTGGTTATATTATGTTATATCCTATTACGTATATTATATTACATCATGTATGTTGTATTCACCCAACATACGTGATCAATATAATTGCCAACAATCGCCTACATTGGCCACATCATATGTAGTCAGCTTCCTACACAACATGCATATCTAAAAAACGTTTTAGACACGCGTTAGGATGTTTTAATGATCTTTGGGTTAAGATGTAATCGAAGAAAGGAAAATATTGTGATTCTGATTTTAAACAACTGATGAGAGAATCATGGGCTATAATATAATTTATTTTCTCGCTAAATTTAAGTTATCGCATTTCGTACCCAGCAATGGCTCTTATAACCTACGATCAAAGCACAACTAATTGCGATCGATAATATAGTATAACAAATTAAATATTAATTTAATAATCATTCATTTAATAATTATAATTAATTATTAAGTACCAATGGAAGGAAGCCAATGAAACGCGTTAATAAATAACACGTATCATAATTCGCATTCATTCGCCGTATCTTCAAATTTTTGCGAAACTTTGGAACGGAAATAATCAACGGAAATTAGCGTGTCGAACCGAAAATTGAGACGATTCTTTATAGATGCACACATTAATCATTATATTTTATAATTCCGTGCAGGAAATTTAGCTTCGACTTAATTGAACAGCACTAAAACGGAGATTCGCTTGTGACGAAACGCATAAAATGTGTCGCGCGGATAACGGACTGCGTTTCTCTCTTCGCGCGGTTTCTTTCAGCGAGATATATTCGGCGATTGTGCGACTGTATACGCCGCCATATTACGCGCATGTGGGCGCCCTCATATGATTACATTTCTGCTTATTACGCATGAGACGGCATATATAGACGGTACCGTGAGCGGCGTTACGCTTTGGAAATTGCTTCGGAGTTATTCCACATTCCGTGTCGCGAGAATAAGTTGCACCGGAACACCGTCGTCTTCTTGATCGCGACGCAACGACACTTCATCCGACGATAATGGCGAGGAAGACAGAGTTCATGTGGATGTTACTCGTCGCGGTAAGATATTTATATACGATAGAAGAAATTTCTGCGATTTTCATAAAATATATATCGTATTTATATACTTTTAGAATAAACAATTTCTTTGTTTTGTCGATGTAACAGATGCGAAAATATTCTAATTTTATATGTTTATTTCGTTGACTCCGTTAATAATTCATTACGTCAAACAGATGTCCAGGCATCGGTGCATATCCATTGCTACTTCATTTTGCCATATAAAATACCTAGTTACTACTAGACACTTCTTAATATTTGACTATGGCTGTTAAATATTTAATATTACTCTTAAATATATATTTTTAAATATTTATATCCTGTGTGAGAACTGATATTCAATTTACCCTTAAATGTAGTCTAGTTTTTAACTTACGTGTGAGTTGCGCGAAAAGATTCTCTTTACTTCTGGATTTCATATGGATTTTCTCCCAATACTTCCAACCGTCCAGAGGTTTTCACTTTAATCCTTCAATTATTATATTATTTGACACATATCTACCAAGGCTAATCTCAACGGCGACCTCGTTAATTAATAACGCAATGTCGTCGTCACATGTAGACGTGATGTCGAGCGTGACTACGGAAATAATTGGTAATAACGAAATTACAAATGGAAATGTGCGAAGATCGCGATAACTCAGGCAAAGCCGCTGAATCCCCCGCTTGACGAGTCGGCCAACGAGATCGATCACGGCGAGACGAGCCTGCGGAAGAATCCATTCGAGTCTGAGGAACGACAACGGGATCCTGCTTTGCCGACCAACGAGGGACCGATAGCGACCGTGGCGCTGCAGACCGAACCTACGCACTCAGCAGCTGGTACCATGATCGACACGACTGTTCGACCCGTAAGTGAGCCATTACGTTGATTAAAATTTATAATTAAAATTGGAATCCGGACTGAAACGCTTTCGACGACAACAATGTCCCGCGACTTTGTTCGCGATCCCTTTAATTAATCATTCTCTAACGTGACGTATTATTGGCTGCCAGTCCATTTCGATAATTCGGCAACTTCGTTTTACAAAATCCCACCGCACCGTGAATTATCCGTCGTCGACTGGGACGTTCGGTTGAACTAATTAAAATCAATTCGCCACTTATTAACGCGTTTAATAATTGAGACTGTGCGATTGCCGCACTGGTATCCTTAAGTAAGACACAATAGGCCAGAGATAACAATAGATGAAATCGCATATTATATCTTCTTTCTCATCGTAATCAATCGCGTTCCAACCGTATATTATATTCCCCGGCTACATTTCAACGAAGTCGCATTAGCACGCGAAATGGAAAATTAATTCCATGTGAAATCCCTGATTTATCAAATGTAACGAAAGGATAGGACCGATATTCTATGTGAGAAATCAAAATAATTTATTCATTCAGTCAAGAAAAAACCTTATAATTATGTCTACGTCCCTGATTAAGATTTTCGGTCTGTCTCGCTTCGCGAAATACTGTAAAAGTGCGTGTTGAGACGCACGCGATTAATCAAATATAAGAGAAAGAATAGGGCCAATATAAAAGTATGTGTATAGTGATATCGTGCAATAAACTGAAGTAATATATTCATTTTCGTTGCAATCGACCATTCCAGCCGCGTATTAAATTCTCACGATGAAATTCTAGCGAAGTTCCATCAGCGCTAACAAGGTTGAAAATTAATTCCTTCCTGATTAATTCCCCTCTGAAACAATCTCTGATTTATCAAATATAAGAGAAAGAATATATTCAGTCAAGAAATATAATTATATTTCTTATAATTATATCAGAATCCTCGATTAACATATTTCTCACTTCGCGAAACATTGTAAAAATGCGTGTCGAGAAACACGCGACATAAACCGTCGTGCTTTTTCGGTTAAATCGACGAGGTCCCGACGACGAGTTAATTCTCTGTGAAAAATTATTGATTAATCAGATATAAAAAAAAGAATAAGGCTAATACAAGAGGCTGTGTGTGTACAATGATAACGTGTAATCAACTAAATAATATATTAATTTTCGTCACACAATCGACCGTACCGAGCCGCATACTAATTACCATGACTAAATTCTAACGAATTCGCGTCAGCGTTAGCGAAATTGAAAATTAATTTCGTGAAAAATCCCTGATTTAAAAAACATAAAAGGAAAGATATACTCAGCAGAAAAAATTGTAAAATGTGTGTCGAGACGCACACGCGATATAAATAATTGCGCCTTTTCAACTAGATCGATCATGTTCCGACGACCAGTTTATTTTCCGCGAAAAAATTCTCGACTAATCATATATATAAAAAATACTAGGACTAATACAAGCTTGTAAACGGTAATATCGTGCAATGAATCAAATAATATATTCATTTTCGTCGCAAACGACCGTTCCAACCATGTATTAAATGTTCCAATTAATTTTTGGCAAAGTCGGCTGTTGAAAATTTCCAGGTGGACTCCTACGGAAATCCAAGGGAATTTACGTGAATTCACATGAGATATTGAAAATTCATGTAGGAATTTACATGGATTGCAGGACCTAGGTTTTTGTCGCAAATTCAAGGATATTATGGAATTCCATATGAATTTCCCATATAGACCCCCACTTTTCAACGGGGATCAGCGTTCACGAAGTCAAAGATTAATTCCGTGCAAAATCCCTGATTTATAAAATATAAGAGAAAAAGTACATTTAGTTAAAAAAAAATCTTATAATCATGTCCGAATCCTCGATGGATATTTTCGGTCTCTCTCGCTTTTCGAAACATTATAAAAATGTGTGTCGAGACGCACGCGATATAAATCGTTGCACCTTCTTGCCTAGATCGACGAGGCCCCGACGACGAAACCGGGCCCATTCGCCTGGTTCCTGACGCCGCTGACGCAGAAGATTCAGTTCTCGCCACAGTCGTTCCTGCAGGACCGTCTGGTCCTGCTGCGGGAAGCGCTGAGCAACCTGGGCATCAATGTGCTGCAGAACGCGACGGCGAAGCAACTGAGCGGACCCGGCGGTCTGGTGCATTTCGTGGGCTCGAGCGATTCCGGTTTCTACACCAACCGGCTGGAGCCGGCCGGTTTTTTGGGCGGCAACGGTTGGTTCGCCAACAAGGGCGGCATTCTCGGCGGACCCGGAGCGATCCTCTCCACCGGCAGCCTCCTCACGGATTACCCGACTGCTTACAGGAAATAGGACGAGTCGCCGCGCCCGATTATTATATTCGGACGTGTAAATAAACGGGGAACGGAATATCCGCGCTCAAGATCTCTTCGACGCTCTGCGTGTCACGCGATTTGAATCGACGATCGACTCTTCAGATTTGTCGGTGAGTCGCATACAGAAGACTCTATTAATGCTGTCTCATTCCCTAGACGTAGCGACATCGGAAATTTCCAATTAGGCATATCATTTCTAAATATTTGTGCATCACGATTTTTACTTTGAAGCATTGTTCGCAAAATAATCAATAATCATGATCATGAGTATTCAGAAATAATGCGCGCAATTGGAAATTTCCGATGTCACTGTACTTAAGAAATGAAATAGCTCGAAATTCTCGAAAATCTCGAAATTCTCTTCATTAATTAATGGAGTTTTCTTTATGAACGTGTCGTAGGTTTCCCGTTTTTTTTCTTTTTTTACTTTTATAACGGATAAATACATAGAATAATAATAATAATAATGATAATAATAAATTTATCAGACATCACGCATATGTGACGAATACAAAAAAATAACAGGATGCAAAAAAAGAAGGATAAACGTTTAAAGAACGAGGCAACAGCACTGAAGCTGTTATTATTGTCTTACCTGATGGATTAAAAAATTATAAATAAAAGGGAGAAAGAAAGAAAAAAGTACAATGCTCAGAAACAACGATATTTCTATTATAAATGATCGTTACACGTTAAATGTCGTGACGATGACCGGTACTGTCGCTTTACTGCTCTCATTAAGCCGCGTGTAAAGTGAAATTAATTATGTTTGAAAAATGATTCGCACGATCAACAAAGAGCCAATGAGAGAGACGAGAGAGGAGAGAGATACACGCGCATGGGATTGTGTTTATTTAGCGTATCTTTGATAATTCGATCACCGGTTAAGCTTCTGTGCTATCAGGGAAAATTAACCTGGCAGTCGACGTATTAACGGCGAGGTCTTGGTAAATCAAACTCGCGAGAAATGTAGGGGGCGATGTAACGTTAAGTAAATTAATACGAGCACCGCGCGTGCAAACATCCATTTTTACACATACCTGTAATTTACGCTATTTATTACGTGTACTCGTGTTTATGCAATAAAGCGAGCTCGACGAGCTCGAGTAAATACATACATAGAAGTCGTGACAGGCTCCTCCTCCTCCTCGCTCACTCATGATTGCGCAGCGTCCGTCGCGACATAAATGTATTTTTCATGCAACTTCCGCGACGGTGCAACTCCGTCGGCTCGCTTCGGGGACTTTTAACGAGCCCTGCAACTCTCCCTCTCTCGAATTATCGGTGACGCGTGCGCCGAAGAGAAAGAGTGGAACTGAGAAGAAGGGAGGACGAAGGGAGGTGAGCGAAAATGAATTATTGACCGCGCGTATCGCGAAAAATGCGCGGCCGTTGCGGCGGCGGGCGCGACGTGTTATTGGAAATGCATAAGATATCCGGTATCTCGCGAATTCAAAGGGTGACCCAGGTCGTCTGCGAGGATCGGGCGCAGCGTGAAACCGGGCTCGGCCGCGAGGAATTTCATTTCTACCGAATTGAGATTCGATCTCCCGAGCCGAGCGCCGTGGTCGTCGACTACGGCGTCGGTGATCGGTGTACTTACTCTCTATTCTTCTCTCTCTCTCTCTCTCTCTCTCTTCGTGTTTCGACACAACTCGGTCACCTGTAATCCGAACGGACTGAAAAATCGGCCGTTACGCAAACGATCGCGTGCCGATATCTCTCCGGAGACGAGGTTTATTAAAAAAAACGATGAATGATAGATTCGCGCGGTTGTTATCTTTGGTGTCGATGGCGCCGCCGTGCGCGTGGAAACGACGCCTCGCGTGCCGAGGTAATTGGTAACGCGATGATCGATAAAGAAGATCCTGGTCCCTCGCTTGTAAGCCGAACCGATTCGCAGGAGCGAGCGTTCCACTCTACGGTACCCGACTTTGACCTCTCGTCACTTGAAACGCTACTTTTCATATGTCGTTTTATTTCTGCTACCTTTCATTTACCGCCCTCTCGCTGTCCCTTTAAAGAAGGATTTATTTAAGATTTAATTAATATTCGATTATTTCAATAAAGTCCAATAAAGTTCAATAAAGTCAAAAAGTAAAATATTGAAGCTTAATTATTTCATTTAGGGATTATTTAATACTCGACCTTCCACACGTCAATAGTCTCTATCTGCATTTAATCTTTCTTTTCAATTTCAGAAGCGACATATTAATTGTGTAACTCAATTCTGTAGACAGAATATGTGTAACACATATAGAAGCAAATATTGGATAATTTATTAGATAAATGCAAAATTTTTGTCTTTCGACTGTACAGAAATAAAGTTAAGAAGTTAAAGTTAAAGTTAAGAAAAAACAAACTTTTGCGTATATCTAATAATAAAGATTAATTGGTAAGCGGATAAATGGAACAACAAGCTTCTGTCTTCCATAATCTCTTTATCCATCTATTTATCTGATATTATCTTTCGTTGACGTTAGAAATTTCGATAGGATTTGTGAATGCTAAACCACATTGAAACCAAGTGTACGCCTCGTCGCCGGTGTTTGCGTGTCCTGAACACAGCTTCAAATTGTCATCCTTGACCATCCGTCAATGGTTCTACAGGAAAAATACAAATCAATCAAAAACAGGAAAGTTAATTAATTAATCATTAAAATCGTTAAAATCGTTAACAAACAACGAAAGATATTTTTTCATATATGCCGCACACAACTGTCCTAATTGTTTTATAATTTGACAACTTGACAGTTAATAATTTAATAATTTAACCGCGTAGGTATAGAATCTTTTTAAAACATTGCTATGATTTCTCGGCCATCGAATATTCATTGGTTGACGAGCAATAATAGCTCGCGATTGGTGGTGGGAGGTGACTTTATACCTTTCAGAGGGATATTTCGGTCAATTGTTTTGGCACTCTCGTGCATTGTGTACCTGACCGTGACCGAGTCATTGCATTTCGAGCGAACAGAGCATGTATCACTACGCGAAGTACATCTGTCGCTGCGTTGTTTACATCTAGCGATCAAAATGTTTCGCCGGCCGAAATGAAATATTTAATCGAGTTCTCGTCGACATCGCGTCAGTTAACACACGTTTCTCCGATCAAGTCGTATTTGCGCAAATATCAGTGAGTGTCCAATGAGTGTTCAGAAGCATGGAGCAGCCAGGAGCAGGATGCTGGATCGGGCAGCCAGGATGGAGGACGCCGGGATGCTGGCATCGATACGTCATATATTTCTAGATTTGTCAGATTATTCATTATACAGAATGTTTTCGATTTTAACGGATACTTGATGAATTCACCAAGAATCAGGAGATATCTCGAGTCGAAATTTAGGAATCTAAGGCAGATATTTATGGTTCCCCATAAATTTATAAGTAATTATAATTTCCTGAATCTTTGATTATTTGTCAAGCTGTACTTAAATTTCATACTAAAAAAGAGAACTATTAGAAACATACTAAAAAGAGACATATTGGAAAAAAAAATCTACTAAAACAGCCGAACGATCTATGAGCATAAATTTATAAATAATTAAAATTAAATTAATTAAAATGAAATTAACAAAATAATGAAATAATTAAGCAATAGAGGATGGAAAATAATTTATAATTACGAATACCGGTCTAAATCTCGCAAGTGCTGATATTTGTTCTTTAATACTCCTCTATTATTCTAATACTCCTCGAATAGAGATTTTTATCTTGAATCTGACAACGTCTATTTTTTCTACTTAACCACGTTATGTAGCGAATCCAAATTTAAATCCTTGTTGGTGTTTATACACAACTACTATCGTTAGCCTTACATTCTCCGTTCTTATCAAGTTATTTGCCTATACTAATCATTATATTTTAATATTTGTTTATCATATATATTTTATCTGATGTTAAGTAAATTATGTAATTAATATAGTACTTATCATAATTCAAAGAATAAAGATTGAATGCAGATAGAATGTTGAGATAATCGAATATTAGATTATTTTTTAATAAAAGCTTCTTCAAATCTTAATGTGGAGAAAATAGAAGCGACGATTTATAGCATCAAGGTAGGACAACAGTCTGTTTAGTGTTATATCTCAAAATTCTCTTCATTAATCCAAGTTAAGTGGAATTTGCGGGATTAATGTAGAATCAAAATTTCAGCTCGGATGAATGATACACGTTTAACGCATGTAAACATATCATAACACAGAAATATCCTCAACTTCTATTTGACGAACATTATTTTGACTTGTGGTTTCAAGACAGATAAATCTCGCTTCTAAATTTAAACTGGCCAACAGCCAACGCAGAAGAGATTGATCTGTTGGCTCAAAGTATTAAAGCGCGCATTAATTATTTCAAACGTTGAACAATCGAATGGCCCGAAGTGGAAGAAACATTTCGACTATGGATATTTATGAGAGAGATGCGTCCGTGTTTCCCCGACGCGTTTCGCGATATCACTTCGATTTCATTGTATTTACGCCACAATGGTTTCGATCTGCAATTGATAAATTTTAGAAGTCGCTCCCGTGGCGAATAAAAGCGTGAATTAAGGCTGAGTAAGTAAGGCGGGAGGGGGATTTCGCGCGGTCCGAATTGAAATTCAATCCGTTTCATCCGGTCGATGTGTATTCGTCGCCCGGCAAGCTAAGATTAAACTTGTTCACCGTCCAGCTCAATACTAGGAGGTGCCGTAGTACTTGATAAATTGGCAATAATGCGCTGTGCGTGCCTATGTACAGGCTACCACCTGTATAAGCAGCGGTGATCGATATTGCGACGCGTAGTCGTGTCCCGCACTTCCGGATTAATTCCGCGTATCAACAGTTTGCCGCGTGTCACGCTTTTATTGACTCGCAAATGCGCGCGTACACACTATAAATGATGCAGCCGCGTTCTCGCAAATACAAATAAAAATCATGTTTCCCCAGTCGCGTGCGATCGATATCGGCAAATAACTTAGCGCGCTCGCAAGAGTTAACACGTTGACTGCCACGGAACTTTTCACGATTCTGGTCTAAGAAGCCAATTTGATTTAATCAAGTAATAAAGCGACGAGATAACTCGTAGTTGGTGTCCTGGGCAAGTAAACAACCTACGAGATATCTCGTAGTTGGCAATTAACGTGTTAATTGTTTCGTAACAGCGATGTCGCAACGTTAATCGCGCTGATGTAAATGCATAATCGCTCGCTCTCCCGAAATGTACGCGCTGTTTACTACGGCATATTTACTCGCGTTCGTAATTAGATCGTAACTGTGGTGCGACGACGACGTTGTCGTCGAGTATGAAGATGCTCGGAAAACAATTTATTGCGACACGCGCGAAGAGTCCGCGGACAATCGCGTAATCGAAACAACGCGTAGTAGCAATTGGCATTGTAATGTGTTGATTGTGTCGTCTGGGAGAGTCCTTGGGAGAAATAATCATTTAACTGAAATGGGTTTTCCGTACACACGCAAGCCGACACAGCAGCCGGTTAACATTCAATAGACATAAAGTCACCAGAATTTTTAACCAACCGGCTATAGTGTCTATGTATTTCCGCATCATAATGATTGATTATTCGACGAGGCAGCAAACACTTAAATATTACATATCGAATATTACTTCTTTTTTTTTCCTCTTTCCCACACGCGATTTTACATCACAGATACTGAGATTTCTGAATAATAATTGACATATCGTTGTCTGTGCGGCAGTCGTGATGCGCGAATATGTCGAATACACGAAAAATATGGCGAATAATAGAAAAATCCTACTTACTCTCGCGCCATTAGACATTGATTGCACCACTGGACGCTATTAACCCAGTCTGCATAGAAAATCCGTTTCACAGATAAACGATCAGTTATATGCATTTCATCGCGAATAAGTGGATTTTATTTCACGAACGTCGTCAATAACACGAATGTGAGAACTCGTTGTTAACAGCTGCGGGAACAAAAAAGTGCGAGTATTGTTAGTAAACTATAATTATCGCGACGATGATCGCTAACTGACGAAACTGGCAAGCTCGGTAAGTGTGAAAGATAAGAATATTATATTTTAATAAAATATTTATTTTTGATACAATTATATACATTAATGTGATATGCAAGAGTTTCACTCTTTCGACTATACGAAAATAAAGTGTGAAAATTTCCGGGAAAAGACCAAAACTTCTACAATATAACATAATATATAATATTACAACATACGATATAATATAATATAATAGAAATCAGAAAACATTTTTTATCATGTTAATCCCAGCAACAACTTGTTTTATATTAAATCTAACAGGCATTTTATCTTTATGAACGTGAAGTATAAGTGCCCCTTGTTAACTCATATCTTTAAAATTAAAATAGATATCTCAATTTTGCTTGTTACTCCTCGAAGTTCACCTAAAAAGTACCTAAATGTGATGTATTATACATTTATATTTTGCGTATACACAGAGTGTCCGTTGCTAAGTGTCATCATTCGTCACATACTTATACGATTACTTGTATTCAGGTCAATGCGGACAAAAAAGTCCTCTACTATTTTACAAATAACCACGCAAGATTTCGAGTATGACGGATGTCCCATTTAGCGACAGACACCCTGTATATACATACGTGCACCGATCATGAGCTCGAAACTTGTGCCGGTCCGCGGCGCGCGAGCGCTCGGTGGGAAAATCGTCAATTCGCGGCCGGCATAACTTTTTAATTAGCGACGGGCTTTCATGGAGTTTCGCGGTTCGACCGAGCGGGTTGCCCGAGCGACGATAGCGGCCGCCACCGGCAGCGGCGAGCTTCCCGAGAGCGGGCCTGAAATGGCGATCGATAGATCGTATCCGGGAATGCGACGTGGGCTGCGAGAACGTGGCCTCCACGATGATGGTCGTCGCGATGGCCGGTCAATCGCGGTCTAATTCTCGCCGTGGGACTGCGAAGGGAAAGTCGGAACGGCAGTAACCGTGGGCGGAAGGGGTGGAAATGTTGAGGGTGACTTTTTCGGGCGGCG